GGAGCAGAAAGGTTGAGTCAGCAGAAAGGTTGAGTCGGGGGAAGAATAGAAGAAAACAAGAAAGGAAATACCATAATAGAGGGAGACATTTTAGGTTTACAGAGAAATCAGGCACTAGGGAAATGTCTGGAGATCTAGAAAGATGACACCAGCTAACAATCTAAGCAACAGAGGAAAGGCTACCTTAAATGCCCTCCCCTGATAATGAGATTGATAACTGACTTATATGCTACCCTATAGTCTTTATTCAGCAGCTGGTGGAAGTAGAAGTAGACACCCACAACTAATCAGTGAACTGAACTGGAATCCAGTTGCAGAGAAGTACGAGCGATGAGCAAAGGGGTCCAGACCAGGCTGGTGAAACCCACAGAAACAACTGACCTGAACAACAGGGAGCTCTGGGTTTCCAGACTGATAGCTGGGAAACCAGTATAAGACTGATCCAGACCCCAGGAACGTGGGTGTTAGTGAGGAGACCTCGGAAATCCATGGGGCCTCCTGTAGTAGATCAGTACTTATCCCTAGCATAGGTGTAGACTTTGGGAGCCCATTCCACATAGATGGATCCTCCTTGAGGCAAGACACATGGGGGTGGGCCTAGGCCCTATCCCAAAGGACATGATAGACTCTGATGACCTCTATGGAAGGCCTCACCCTCTCTGGGTAGCAGAAAGGATATGTAATAGGTAGGGTTTTAGTTGGGGGGGGTGTTAGCAGAGGAGAGGAGAGGGAGGGAACTGGGATTGACATGTAAAACAATCTTGTTTCTAATTCAAATAAAAAAAGAAAAAACCCTAATAAATGATTTAGTAAGAGTGAAGAAGTGATACACTTTAGAAGAGTGTAGAGTGATACATTAAACCCAATCGAACAAAAAAATACTAGAAAATAAAAAAAAAGCTATATTCATTTTGCAGTACCAAGATATTTAAAATTTGAAGCACTTACCTGGACAAACCTGAACTCTCTCCAGTTGACCATGTTGCTTACTGATGGCACGGAAGTGATTCCCAAGAGAAGAAACAGAAAAAATCCCAGGATTCCCAGCGCCAAGTAAGAATCATTAAGCCAGGCGGTAGAGGTACTAAATGGGTTGTCTTTATTAGCCAGGGCCTATGAAAAGTTAAAAACAATTAAAGTGGATGCTCTCTACACCTCACTCTTTCATGGGGACTGAACCATACCTCTACACACATTTCTTGCACAAATCAAATTGTGTATTGTTTCTTACTGATCTCTTAGGAACAGTTTTGGGAAACTACACTTGAGAATTTTGAGCAGAAAAGGTAATTGTTCTGTGATTTTTGTTGTAATTATTTTTTCCAGGAAGTTTTGATTTGCCCTATATATCCCCAAACAAAGTCAATATACATTGCAACCATCTATAGCATGCGGCTTTCTGTTTCTCAAACAAAGACAGTTTTCTCAAAACAATCACATCAAAATTTGGTTTTATATTTTGTTTAGTGTTTCTTTCTCCTCTCTCTCTCTCTCTCTCTCTCTCTCACACACACACACACACACACACACACACACACACACACAGATTGACAGACACAGTTTGGGTCTTTCATGCTGATTATGTCATATACAGCATTAAATCTTTTATAACACAGTGTGGGAGGAATCAGGCTATATAGTATGATCTTTACTCAAAAAACTTTCATGAATTTGTTAGGGGAATGTGAGAGGATATACTTGTGGAAACAGTGCCTGTGAGTTATTGACTATAGCCTTTGAGACTGTAGTAAGCTGTAACAGCACCATTAATTTCCAAACCAGAATGGATTTGTAGCATTTCTGCTGTAAATGCTGAAAGACTACTTGAGTTGATTTTGTCTTTGATTATTCATAAGATAATATAAAGTATTTTTCAGAATTGTTTAGTTTTCCTGGTTATTGAAGTCAAATTCTCAGAAGTCAAACATGAATGGATTTCTAAGCACCCTTTTGTGAAATTGTTGTACATCCGTGGCTCATGTATGGGCAGACTCTACACTTAGTAGACAGTGGTTTAGACTTCAAAAAGAAATTTATATAAAAACAGAGGCTTTAAAACTAAAAGTTTGTGACTCTTACTCAAAGGGACTCTTTAGTCCCAAACCTGCCAGTTGTTCAGTGTCTCTGTGAGCTCAAGATTACAGATGTAGAGCCAAGTAAGTCTGGAATCTAACTTTTATTCTTAATGGGTCTGTGTGATCAAAGCTGGAGTCATTTGCAAGCCAGAGATACTGTTTTGGATTTTTGATACTTAAAAAAAATGAAGATGTTGGATGGACATGACAATTTGTGCCTCTTATCCCAGCACTTAGGAGGTGGAGACAGAAAAATCATGAGTTTGGGGCCAGCCAGCCCTAAAACATAAACTATCTTAAACAAAACTAAACAAAATAAAAAATTAATACACCCATCCCCCCAAAAATCACCCCCAAATAAAGAACAGACTTTGGATAGCAATGCTCTGTAGTTGTGAAATGGATTGTGGTAGAGCAAGACTGCTCTTTGTTTTAAGGAGTAGAGAGATACAGAGAAGAAATTTACCTGAGTAACGGTTGCATTTCTCAGTCTCCATCGTACATAGTAACGAATAGGAATCACAAGTGTGTAGATGACATGAAGGAAGGCAAATCCCAGAGCTACCAAGCCTAGCTGCTTTCTGCACAGCATCCAATGGTCAAGCCAGTTTGGGAATCGGCGGTACTTTGTACCTCGGTAGAGCTGCAGAATGGCAGCAAGGACACCAGGGAGGTACACCAAAGCAAGAAGGACAAGTGCTGTTATAGGAAAGACACGGTTTGGGATGGAAATAGCCAGGCGAAACGTAGTATCTGTCTTTCCATTCACGTAGGGGTATATCACTTCTCGTATAGCACAGTACACAAAGAAGAAGGCACACAGCACAGAGCACAAGTAGAAAGGGAGCCTCCACATTGGAAATAGTTGCAGAGGGTAGTTCTCAATTTCATTGGCTGCCACAAGAGATCCTTGATCCAATGGAGTGAGTCCAAGGGTACGAGCAATGTCCATCACTCTGTGCTTGGCTTTGCTATCATTCCCACAGACAAACACCTGAGTTAAAATAATTAATTCCATCTTTATGTTTTATTTAATAATTATCATTAAACTTTATATTAGTATCATGTGGAAAAATAACATACTAATGGACTATTTTCAAAACAGGCATATAGAAGCAACACATCAAGGAAGATGATGTTTTGAACAAAGACCATGCTTTTCAGCTGAAGGTGATTTTAGGCACTTAGTGCTGCTATAGGGTAAAGTTTACTGTGGCATAACTGGTCTCATCTTTCTTTGAGTGTGGGTACTACATCATTTATGATTATGGCTAATCTCAAGGCCACAAATGGACCCAGTTTCACCCAAGTGGACAGAGTCAACACGCTGTGAGTTTCCTGCATGGGCAAGAGGACTCCAGATTCAGACATCATTTGGTTCTGTGAAACTATTAATAAAAGTTGAGGCACACAAGACTACACTTCTCATGGAACTCAATAAAGCTGTCCTTAGCATATATTAGAAAATGAAATATTTACTGGGGATTTCATTTTGGAATTGTATTTAGCTAAGTACATATCAAAACATTCACCTTTGAAAGGCTGAATGCAAGTTTATTTAATCTTACCTGCCGACTTGCATCCAGTGTTCCTGACTGGAGAGCCCAGGCTGAGATGGTGTTAAATGCTTTGACCACATGGGCTCCAGGCACCAACTGAGCAAGGTACTCTGCATTCGACTCTGGATACTGATTGATTTTACGGTTGTTGCTGACATCTACCAATATTTTTCCATTGAGAGGGTCAACCAGTTCTGTGAGGAAATCATAATGCTCTCTGTGAATGGCCAAGATTATGATGTCAGACTTCGATGCTGCCTGGGAATAGCTTAAGACCTCTGCTCCCCTGGGCAGAAGGCTGGACATCTGGGGATTTCGACTCCCCAAAACAACAGAATAACCACACTGAAGCATTTTAAATCCAAAGGATTTTCCAAAATCCCCTGTTCCAAAGATGCAGACAGTCTCTTGTTTTTCTGAGGAATTCACAGTCAGAGGGAGGGCATCTGCACACGTTTTCTCCATTACTAAAAAACAAAAAAAGGAAATTAGAGGTGTAGAAATTCAAAAGGACTTACAGATCATCAGCTTGTAACCGAGACACCCCAAGACATTAACAGAAAAACATGCAATGTTTACAAACACAACTGCATATCTTGCCCGAGACTCCAGGCACAATCCATGTTCCATGTTGCTGTATCTACAACTTCACATAATAAGCTAGGCTACTCTATTCTTTCAGAGGATAGTATGTCTTTCTTTAGGACAGCTTTTCTCAAATTCTAATTTCTCAAGTTCTAATTGAAACTTTTAGTCAATCTAGAGGCTTGTTTTTGGGTGGGGACTCTGATTTTCAATGATTTAGTATTTGTCCTGAGAAATGCACTGTCTACCAAGGGCTAGACAATTGGCAAATATTTTTTAAGCATGAGCAGGATGGAAGTGAGGGTCAGAAGTAGCAGGGTCCTCCCTGTGTTTCAGGCAGTGTGTGATAAAGAGGAGGAGGCTAAATAATTAAAGAGTAACTAATAAGCAAGGGAGAGAGGTTGTAGAAGAGGGGATGTTGCCTAAAGACATTATTTCATTCATTCAAGTGGGTTGACAGTAAAACTCAATTGAGTTTGATGTGTAGTTTCCACACCAAATATAACTGGTGGTCAGTCACTGTAGCTTTCATGTCAATCATGAGACATACATAAATCTTGCATCTTTTTAAAAAAATGGAACTTTGGAAAAATTTCCTTTCTGTTTAACTCATGACAAAGCCCTATCATATTAGCTGAGCTTGTCTGAAGTTGTGCAATTGCAGAACACACAGAACATGCAGATCTTCACACTTAGACAGGAGTTATGAGAGAGAGAGAAGAAGAAGAAGAAGAAGAAGAAGAAGAAGAAGAAGAAGAAGAAGAAGAAGAAGAAGAAATACAGAGCTTTCCTGTAGCACCACAGAAAGTGTGAATAATCAACACAATTGATTTCTACAAACTACCTTGGGATGCCCTCAGCATGTATCATGAAGGGCATGACCACATGTAGGAAATTATCTGGGGATGAGCAAGGTTCTTCATATGTAAGCACGTTGGCCTTTGAAAAATTCTTTGCATCCATAAATGCAAACTAGTGTATAGAAAACTTGGCCAGCTGCTAATCAGTTAACAGCTATTTTTATAGCTCCAATCTTCAGGTTGCTGGAATGACGCTGTCATCTTTCTGTTCTGTACATCTGCTTTGCGTGTCAAAGGACTGCCTACCATCTCTTCATTTCCCCCAATTACTCTTTCCTAATGTTTTTGCTCTCACATTTGTGCAATGATTATAGAACTGGCGAATTTACCAGTAATGAGAGAATAATTTTTTTATGGCAATATTCTCACTGGTTGCTGCAAACACAGTGATTCCAGGTGATTTGGACCATTAATGCATTCTAACTTTGTGTAAAATTTTGTAAAAATGAAGATATTGACTATGTGGCACTAGTTTCTGAATTAACGTGTGTGTGTGTGTGTGTGTGTGTGTGTGTGTGTGTGTGTGTGTAGAGCCCAAGGACAACTTTGGGTATTATCCTAAGGAAAGGCTATCTACCTCCTTTGAGACAGGGTCTCTCATGGGCCTGAAGCTAAGCAAGGTTAGGTTGGTTGGGTTGGCTGGCCAGTGAATCCAGGGACCTGTTTGTACCCACTCCCCACACGCTGAGATTATAACAGTCCTCTATGCTTAGCATTTTTACATGGGTCTGGGCATCCAATTCTGGTCCTTGTGCCTGTAAGACATGATCTCCTCAGACCACTTTAACACTGACTCTTCGTAGCAACAGGGCCTCGGCAAGTTATTCAGACTCAGCTTCATCATCTTTAAGATGAGAGACAATATCTGCTTAAGAGAGATGGAGGCTTAGATTAATTTGTGTATCTAAAAACAGTGCTTGAGACAGGAATACTCAAAAATCTAGTTATCTTTAACAGGCTATTTAATCTATTCAGTATCTAGGGAATATAACCCATTAATCATTTAATTAATATCGCTATAAAGTATATAGCTTGAGCATTAATCATGTTTTCATAACTGATTATTTTAAGTATATAAAGATCATCTGAACTAGAGATAAGGACATGCCTACTCTAACCACTTATTTTTTTTATAAATAAAATATTGTATGAAATGACTTTATACCAGACAAATTTATCAAAACACAGATGTAGAAATGGATGAAGTATGAATTTCTTTTACTTATAATTTTTTTTTTGTATTTTAATTTAGTATTCTCTCTTTAGGACATGTTAAGGTAATATCCTTGGTGTGTGACTCCAACCATTAAAATTAGTTTTTACTTTCAAAACTTAGAGTTGTCACTGGGCAAACTGCAGATGTAAAAATTTGATCCAATAAAAGGCAATGTGGTTTACTTATGCCTGGAGCACTGCCTTATTACTTGAGGAACTTACAGAAACTCTACGGTTGACACTGTGGCCACACCATGAGCTTCACTTCAAACCCTCCCACAGCTAGTTCTAGAATCTGGGCAGATTCCTAGTTCTACTAATCTCCCACTGCCAGCAGAAACTTGTTTTGGGTCTCACATGCAGTACCTCTTGATTCTTGTCATGGGGCTTCTCTGAGACCTGTGTCTGCCTAGCATTCAGGCATAACTGCTCACAGGGCACCACAAGTCAGCAGGGAGCCCGCCTCTGTCTTTCTTCCACAGCTCCTCTTTCTTTTGGCACTCCATCTGACGCATTTCTTCAGGTCCCTCACATGGCCCCAATGGAGCCGAGCACTCATTATCTGTGGCCATGGTTCATCTAGTTCCTTCTAAAACAGTAGTCTTTTCCATATTCCATGACCATGTCCTCTGCCCTCCTCTCCACTTTCCCAGAATCATGTCTCTAAGAAATCATTGGAGCACAATCCTTTGTTATCACTCTGCTTGCAGGGTAACTCAGGATAAAATATAACATTTTTATGAAAAATATTATCAGACTTAAAGTTACCACAATTGGAATGATGAAATAAACAATGTGGGAAAAGTTAACAATTCTTTGGAGCAACTTAATTCTTCACTTTTGGAAAAAATATTCTAATTACAGGTGTTCACAGAAATAGGATGTATGCATAGGGTGTCTCTTACAATAAGTACTGTTCAAACATGGTTGCCACATCCGTGTCAGACATATTTGTGCATCAAAATAGCTGCATGTGAACATGGGTTCATGAAGGTGGTAAGGTTTCTTGCTCAGTTTTCCAAAATTTCCCACTGTACTTCACTCTTAGATATAAAGTGGGGGGAGGAAACACTAAGAAAAGGAAGCAAACAGGAAGAGCATTTGCCGAAGGTAAAGTGGGTTAAAGAATTAAAACAACAGTAGTCTCTTCCCTCTGCCTTGAGGGCACCATCAGCTGGGTAACTGGAAAGAATAGGAGTTTCCTAGCTTGGAAAACCTCCAGGACTGGTGTACTTCTTATGGAAGTCCCTTCCAGAGAGGGTCATTGGCTGAAGTGTGAGCTTCAGGGGTGGGGCGGGAGATGGACAACACACCAGACATGATGGGGGAAGGAAGACGTGTTGCAAAGGTTTACATAGGTTAGGGATTAGCACACAAATGGGCAGCTGCCAAGTGGCAGCAGTGACTTTGATGTTCACAGAGCCATTTGTCATTGAGGTGAAGAATCCTGCTCTCTGTCTCTGCATTCTGCCCCAGGTCTTGGGAACTCAGGCAGCATTCTTTTTTTTTTTTTTCCTTTTTTTAAAATTTGAATTAGAAACAAGATTGTTTTACATGTCAATCCCAGTTCCCACTCCCTCTGCTCCTCCCCTACCCCCCCCCAAACTAACACCCTACCTATCACATATCCTTTCTGCTCTCCAGGGAGGGTAAGGTCTTCCATAGGGGGTCATAAGAGTCTATCATAAACTTTGGGATAGGGCCTAGGCCCACCCCCATGTGTCTAGGCTCAGAGAATATCCCTCTATGTGGATTGGGCTCCCAAGGTCCACACCTATGCTAGGGATAAGTACTGAACTAGTACAGGAGGTCCTGTAGATTTCCAAGGTCTTCTCTCTGAAACCTATGTTCCTGGTGTCTGAATCAGTCCCATGCTGGTATCTCAGCTATCAGTCTGGGGACTAAGAGCTCCCCGATGTTCAGGTCAGCTGTTTTGGTGGGTTTCATCAGCCTGGTCTGGACCCCTTTGCCCATCACTCCTTCTTCTCCAGGCAGCATTCTTTAGGGAGTTATCTTAATCTAATGTAGGATCTTTAGTTGTCTCCAACTTGGGCCACTGCAGTGAATATTCGTGTATTTGGCATGACAGTAAGTTTTCATTTGTTTGAGACAATGCTCCCCAGGGCAATTATTGTGTCATTTGGCAAGTTCATACTCAGTTTTATAGGGAACCACTTGACTATTGTCCAGAGTGGTCACACTGTTTTACATTCCTACTTAGCAATTTATGAGTTCCAGTATTTTTTATTTTAGCTATTTTGTGATTTCAGTGTGGTTTTAATTAGCATTTTCCTAATGGCTGATGATATTGAACCATCTTGTTAAGTACTTACTTGCCATTTGTATGTCTTTTGCCCATCCTCACTTTCTTTCTCTCTCTCTCTCTCCCTCCTTCTCTCCATTCCTCCACAGAGATAAAGTTTTACTCTAGTTTAGACTGGCCTACAAATCTGTAGAGCTCAGGGAGTCTCAGACTTGTGCAACCATTCTGCCCCAGTCTCTCAAATTCTGGGATTATAGATAAGAGCTACTACACCCAGATTTTGCCCATTTTCTGATTAGACATATATCTCATATGTATGTAAAGACAGACTCAGAGCTTTGCTGGATATGTGATTTACAAATATGTTCTCCCAGCCTATGGCTTTTTTATGCTTTCATGTCTTTCAGAGTTTTCATAGAAAAAAGAGTTTTTACCTATTGCAGTGGAATCTCCCAGGAATCAATGAGGGTGACCCTATTGAGGACTCCTAGTAATGGAAGATATGGAGACTGGACAAAGGAAGACTTCCAGTGGTGGGACTG